TTTGCATTCTTCTCCAACAGGATGCAGATGGCTACATTACTTTGGATCTTGTGTTTCTACCCTTGTCTCTGAATCTTGATCAGAAGGATGGAGAAGTTTGAGGGCATAAGGGAGGATTATTATCCTAGTGGTTTGAAATTCTACATAAGAACAAAGAAGAAAAAAAGAGCTATTGGCAGTATCTATGGGAGAGCAGAGAGTAGTAGTGAGAACGAGGTGTTAGTTGAGTAGCTGAGGGTGGGTGTTCAAAGAGTTGTCCCAATGGGGTGTCAATCCACTTCCCTTCCAGCATCTTGGGGTAATAGGTGTGCATAACGTGGATAAGAGATGCTGTGGTCTGGAGCTTGTTGGAAGCCCATATGAGTGATTTAATGAGAGGTGCTTTTATTACAGTTCTTGAGAGAGTTGTCGTGAGGGGCGTTTGGGAGTCCAGTCCAGAACCATGAATTTCAACTCTGCATAAGGATCTCAATCTCAGTGTTGCAGAGGAAATTAGTGAGACGGCAACAGGTTGAGGTCACTACCCCAATACGAAAGGGAGTTCACAGATTGCTGGATCCCTTTTAGGAAACTTAAGAGTTTCAACGGAATTCAGCTTTAGAACCTGTGATATAGAGCCCAAATCAGCATGGGAGTAGCTTGTGGCAGATGTTGGCACAGAGGCAAATTTATTTTTATCCAGGTTGTTAGTCTCTTCTATGCTCTACTAACTTTTTTGGCAAAATTTAATTTTTGAAACTAATGGCAGTGCTCGTCCCCAGACTCCGAGGAGCAGCTTGTCATTCTCCACCTCCAGTCAGCCATTAAGGGGACACTAACATATTTTGACATAAGGGAACAAAATTGGATGACTTGGCTTTCATTTAATATCTGTGCACTTTTTCTCCTCCATGCTCTGTCTGTTTTCATGCTATTAGTTGGCCCTGTAAAATACCAGGTGGGAGAAGGCCCAGGAACATAAAGTTTTATGACACCAGCCAGGCTAGACAATTTCCCCCCAGAGAAAGCCCAGGACCTTGTCAGAAATGTCTAGGGAGGTTTCTGTATATGCTCTAAACTTCTTATAACGTCTGGCAGTAGCAGATGCTACTGTTTGTTAGGTGTACACTTATTTAGGAGAACAATTTTCAGAATAATTATTATAGTAATAAATAGCTAATATCTACTGAGCACTTACAATGTGCCAGGTGTTTTCCTAAGTACATCACATATATTGACCCATTTAATTCTCATAATATCCCTATGAAGTGGATTCTATTACTGTCTCCACTTTACCTATGAGGAAAGTGAAGCCCAGAATTTCCTGATTCCCCAGTAATTAGAAGAACTTCACTTCAAATCCAGGCAATCTGACTTGAAGCCTGAGCTCGTAACCTCTTTGCTGTTGGCTCCCATACCCACTGTTTACACCAGGCTTGAGAATGACACAAAGGGGTTTTCCATAGTGGATCCTGTGGTCTAATGCCCTTTAATTTGCTGACGGTCCTCAGTTGGGGCATTGTTTGATAGAAAGCAAAACACCAGACAACCTAGTCAGAAGACTGGATGTAGGCAAGCTGCTGCTGGCAGAAAATGGGATGTGTTGTAGGTTGTTGTTGAAGATAGGAGCAGGAGAGTGAACGTGTAGGGAGGCGGATGGGAAAGAGAGTTAAGCAGTAGTTAGGGAAGGTCTCCATTTTCTTTTTTCTTGCTTAGCTGGTCATTCTGGAGCTGAAGTGAGATAACAGGTGGATTAGTTTGGGATCTAGAAAGTTTTTTCAAATGATAGTTCTTGCTGTATGTCCACGATGTACCCCTGGAAGTCAGGAAGATTGGGAGGCGTGCCAGTGGTTCAGTAGGGTGTGAGTTGGAATAAGAGGGCATAGACGAGAACCTGGGACGTCAAAGCATGTGGACAGGGAGTGGGCACTGATGGATTTTAAGAAAGGTGGCACACACTGGTGAGCCCAAAGTCAGGGGAACTCCATGGAGGGGGGCATGTGGGACTGGTTGGCAGTTTTCTCTGTATCCTATTCCCTACTTGGCAACTGCTGCTGTAGCGGGTCTTAGTCTTGATACCTCCAGCCCACTGGAGAGGACTGGAGCCCACTGCCATTAGATCTACCGTTATTTCAAAAAAATGTTTAGTTGAGCTCATTCAGCTCTTGCCCTCCCTCTTGTCCTGCTACAGAGGATGATGGACCCTGCACTCAATGGTTTTAGCTTTCCTTTTGACTGCTGTGTTTTCAGGGATATATTTGCTAATTAAAATCTTTGCAGCTCACTGGGGTGAACTTGGAAATGAAAAGATCTGACCCTTTAATTTGGGGATAGGCATTTTGTATGAATATTGTGTAGTCACTCTGTTAATTGCTTAAACTCTTTTCTCTCTACCGTATCTATTACCTAACTCTCTGTTTGTTGTCATTCTTATTTTTACTCTTGTCCTGAGTTATAATTTATTTATGTGTTGATACACTTTAACATAACTATATTATTTCTCTGAAAATGATACTCGATTTAAAATAATCCCTATGTCCCACCACATACAGATAACCACTTGGAACAGCTCGCTGAACATTTCCCCAGACATTTCTATCGCATATATAAACTCCATATCCACAATTTACATGAAGAAGCGTATGCCATATGTAATTTTCCATGACTTTTTTTTTACTTGGTAATATGTTGTAGCCCTACACACTCATAATATCTGCTCAGTGTTTTCTTGTTTACTTATCCATCTCCCTGTTGACTGTTTATTGATAATGGAAAGAATCTGAGCAGCACACAGAAATTATCCGATTCTGCTAATACAAACTTTACGGCTTTGCTGTCAAATCCATGGGATTCTTGGTATTTTTCCATTGACTAGAGTCTGAATCCTTGGTGGAGACTTATAATAGAAAGAGCATGAAACTGATGAATGAAAATTCCAAGGTTTTTCTCCCAGCTCTGCCACTTAGTAGCTGTGTGACCTTAAAATCACTTCACCTTTCTGAACCTCAGTTTCCCTATCTGTACATGATGTTGTGGGTATGCATGATGATTAAGTTCTTTTCTACTAATTTGCAAATATGTTATCAAACTATATCTTCCATCACAACTTAAATCTCAAGTCAGCTTTATTCATCAGTGCCTCTTCAATGTCAAGTACAATGCCAATACAAAATAGACACCCATCAAAAGATGAGGAGCCAATTTAGCCATTGAATCTGTCTTCATAACTTTCCCCAGAAATATTTATCTCTGTGGTTTTGTATTGGCTTGGTTTTAATCCAGTGAAACTCAGACATTTTTACCTATCTACCATCTCTAGAATTTGTGTGCTTTTATCTACACTTAAAAATAGTCACAGTTTAAATCTGTGTGTGTGTGTGTGTGTGTGTGTGTGTGAGAGAGAGAGAGAGAGAGAGAGAGAGAACTCTCTGTGTGGGTAGGTGTGCACATATGTATCTACAGTTGGGTATGTATGTGTTATTTTTGGGGCAGTAGAGTAGGAGTCTGTATGAAGGGAGTTACTATACTTTGTCCTAAAAGAAGGTTTAGAGAAAAGAATAAGGTTCAGTTTTTCTTGCATTCCCTTTTCCAGAACTGCAACAAAATTAAGTGGGTATGTGTCCATGTCTGTGTGTGTGTGTGTGTTTGAGGTGGTGATGGAGGGAGGTAACCTGACTATTATTTTAAAAGTATTACTCCTTCCATCCGTTCTTTTCGTTCCTCTCCTTTTCTTTTTTCCTCCCTCCCTCCCTCCCTCCCTTGTCTCCTTCCCACCCTGACTCCTTCCTTCCTTCCTGTCACTCTCTTTCCATTTTTCTTTCCTTTTCTTCTTTTCCTTTCTTTCCCTCCTTTACAGAAATGAGGAGTGACACTATTCTTTCTGCTTTAGTCACTGTGACTTTTATCACCCTTTAGTATAAAAAATAAGAAACAATGTTCTATTTAGGAAAATTCCCTCAACCAATGAAATCTGAGTATAAGGTAGTATTCAAGGACAGTTAGGGATTGTGTTATATTAATATATTGAAGGAATGTATTGATTCATAGTGGTGGTGAAGAAAACTAAATTATTTCACTCAACTAACACCCAAGATTGAAATTCTTTGAAAAATATTTCTTAAGAAAACCCAAGGAGTCCATTAAGGATATTCTTAGTGTGAGCAGAATGCTTCAGAAAGTGTTGTCTACCTCCTTTAATTGTTTAGTATGTGTCCTAAAACAGTTGGGTTGAATTCTTTCAAAATGAGTTACACACTTTATTTTTATTTATTTATTTATTTTGGTGGTTGGCCAGGACGGGGCTCGAACCCTGGACCTTGGTATTATCAGGACCATGCTTTAACCAACTATGCTAGCTGGCCAGCCTGAGTTACTCACTTTATTCTCTTCCTATAGAAAGTGCACTGTACATATTTAAGTTTTCTCCTTCATTTCGAGGTGCTCAAAGGCACCATCACAGGCAGCTTTTATTGTAATATGCTCTGACTGAGAGGGCTGTCACAGACTATTGAGGTATGGAGAGCTATTTCAATCTCAGTCATGTGCTTTCTGGATTCTTAATATGGTTTTTTTTCTTTTTTTAAAATAGATTTTCTTTCTCTTCTGAGGATCAGGCTGCCATTGACCATGTTTGACTGTTATGGGTATATTTGCTTATAGTTCTTTACAGCTCCAGCCCACTTCTCACTATTTCAGATTAGTTGCATCTAAATAATTATGTAACTAGACACATAATCATATTAAATTTTTAATAAATTAACAGAAAATATGATATAAAAGTGGTCTCCAAAGGCTTTTTGTGTTTATTTTCATGTTCTTACCTAGATTCTAGAAATTCTAGGTTTCTGAAGAAGTGTTCTTCAGATAGTTGGTGTATTCTGCTAGAGAACCCATAATTCTGGTTTGAATGTGAACTTTTTCTTCTAAGCATGAAGAGATGACACTGCCCCTAGACCCTCCAGGTGCGTGACTCCCAATCTGCTCTCTCATTTGTATCTGACCACTTGGTTCTTGTTTTGCAGTCCCCAGTCTGTCCCAGATCGCCTGAGGATCCGGGTGAACAAAATCAGTTTACAAGACTATGAAGGATTCCACTATGACAAAGAGAAACTCCGAGAAGCTTGTAAGTTGGAAGTGCCTAATTGATTTCATGTGATCCGCCTGTCTTCAGCTTCTTGATCCTTCCTGGTTTGATGGGTAGCTTCATTGGTCCTTGTGTCTGAAAACCATGGCCAGAGAAGTGAAGGGAAGCATAGCAACATGCAAACCCCAAGCCAGAATCTCATGTAGGGGCTGAAGAAAATGAAACTGGAAAAGGAAAGCAGCGGAATAAAATTATAAAATTATTCCGCTGGAGATGCCAGGTCAGGATCTCTCAGTTTACTTACCACTTTAATGTCAGGTTTGCCTAAAATGAGAAAAACAAAAAGTTGGTGATATCTCATGGTATAGTGATATCCAGAAAACTCTTGAGACCACACAAGTCTCTTCCTGGAGGCTGCATTATTGAGTACTGTCCTAATTCTTCATGTGGGTGTGACAGAGTTATCCATGAAGGCACATGCAGCACGTCTAGCTATTATGCTGTTGCGCAGTGTCAGAGAAAGGCCAATGGGTTATACAGAATGTTGTGATGATAAAGTGATTCATTGATAATGAAGTTCCTCTATTTCTGAAATCTTAAATCAACATATGAATTCCTTCTTAAGGTTCATGTTTTCCTCATGCTTCCTTGAACATATAGTTAATTGTTAGTTCACCTCATCAGTCAATCAGATTGGGCAATTTTGCATTCTGGTCAGTATTTTAGATCCCTGTCTGTATTGTGATATATGAGGTAGTGGGTAAAGTAAGCCAGAAGAAATTAAGACCATGGGTGTGTTAGATGTTAGGATTCTGGCTCCTTCATAGTTGTGGGGGTCAATAGTCAAGTGCAATGGTCAGAGAACACACGGAAGACCAGTGTTCAAGGGAACAGGCAAGGGTGCCAGTAGAAATAAAGGAATTTTATATAGGACCGAAGATTTAGGAATTCAAATCCAAAATGGTCTCCCAGTGTGAATTTGCCTAGAAATGTAGAAGAGGCAGTTAGTTAAAACTCACAGGACTGGAGTAGGGGGAGCAGTCCTGGAATAGTGACTTCTGAGCTCTGATTCCTGATACTGTGAGCTGGAGTGAGGTTTAGTGAATGGAAATCCTGAAATCCAAGGACAATCTCAGGGGTGGGTTGAGGAGCTTCTAGCATCTGGAGTTGGCAGTGAGCAAGGATCCATTTCCCTGGTCGCCCAATCACTGAAGCTACTATAATAGCGAAATTCCTTGTCCTCCCCTAATATTATTCCCTGTTTTAGTTTGATAGCTAAAATATGCTTGATAGTAAGGAATATCTAAAGGTTATGTAGAGGGTTAACAGCTAAATGCATTTCTGAGCTCTGTGACTGCAGTTTGCCATCCTGCCAGCTCTTCCTGTGTGGGTGGGAGACTTAGTTGCTCTGTAGCTCAAGTTGTAGAAAGCCCCTTAACCACATCCCCTGTCTCCGTGATCCAGTTTTGCCCACCTGATGAAGCCCCCTACCCAGAGCCCCTTATCCACTTTTAATCACCTGGCAAAGACCCCAATTTGGAGGACTCTGCCTGGGTACAGACAGGCCAATAGAAAAGCTTGCTTGCTTGCTCAAGAAAGGTATGTAACCTCAACTCTCCCTGCCTTCAGGGCCCAAGTTGTTGGAATGTGAGATCGCCTGGGACTGCTAGCATAATAATCATCTGACTTCTCCGTTTCTCCAAGTGTCGGCGTTTTCCTTGGTGACTTCTGCTGCAACACTACTAGAAAATTCTGTGTGAAATTTCTGCTTTCTCAATTGTCTTAGCTACTTCAGCTTCCTCAGCTCTTTCAGTTGTCCACCCTTCCGTTAAGCATCAACACCCTTTACTTGCTCCCTGCCTTCTCACTTCTGTATCTCGCTGTCATTTCCTTCAGTGGGAAAGTTTGGGCTGTAGAAGGAGCAGTTCTCTGAATGTCTGCATTTCTTCCTTCTGTAAATCCTATACAGTCATGTGTCCTCTAATGATGGGGAAACATTTTGAGAAATGCATTTTTAAGTGATTTTGTCATCGTGTGAACATCATAGGGTTTACTTAACAAAACTCGATGGTATAGTCTGCTACATGCCTAGGCTATATATTGTAGACATTATAATCTTATGGGAGTACCATCGTATGTGCAGTTTGTCGTTGACTGAAATGTCATTATGCACTGCATGACTGAATTACATTTTCTAACATAAATGAGATTATAAGTGACAGACTAGTACAAAATCTAATTAACCCATAAAGTGATGGACATATATATTTGCAATGGGAAGTGTAGTTACAATGTAAATTAAATCAACTTTTAGAAGCTACTAATTATAAAGAACAGTGTTTTATGTTCTTTCTTATTTTAGACTTCCAAACAAATAGCATACAGTTTTTAAAAATAAAAAAGATAGGGCCGGCCCGGTGGCGCACTGCTACAGTGCGCCGCTTGGGAGCGTGGTGGCGCTCC